CCCTCCCTACAGCACTGCCCCATCCCCACCCCTCCAGGGCTTCACTCCTGCCCCTGCCCCCCTCCCTGTGCCACCTGCTCACGTGACCACTGTGCAGTTTTGGCTGCAATGACGATAAACAGAGAGACTGGGGAGTTTACCCCTCTCTGAGCCACAGCGTGGGCAGGCTCTGGAAGCAACAGTCTCCCTGGCCACCGGGGAAGGCTGCTCTGTAACCAGGAAGGCTAGAAACTTACTTTAAAAAATTGAAGGTTCTGAATACGTGACGTTGCCACATAAATACACCGGACAGGCTGAGTCCGGCCCAAGGCCCATGTGTCTGACCGCCCTGGTGGGACCTCATTAGCTGTCAGACAGGGCCAGGCCCTGCCCCGTGCTGAGGCAGCCGCTAGGGGAGACAGATCCCAGGCTCCGAGCCGGCGTGTCACACTGCACGGGCAGGGAGCAGCTGCACATTCAGGGCGGTTACCAGACCTAACACACCATGAGGGGGAGTGAAAAGAGACCAGGACTTACCTGCCCCCAGCACTGCCAGTGCCCTAGAGAGGGAGACAGAAGAGGCAGTCAGAGGCCTTGTCCCAGGCTGGGAACCTCCTGCCCCACAGGGGAATCCCCACCGGAGCCTCTGGTACTTGGGGAATTTCCGATACTGGGGGTCTTGTTCTGAGAGCAGCTGCCATCTCCCCCAGCAGGGGCTTTTGCTCTCTGCAGCCCAGGAATCCCTGCTAGCAGGTGGCAACTGTGCAAATCTTCTTCCCAGGCACTTGACAGGCAGAATAGGTTTTTCTGCAGTGAGAATCAAGTTTCCCTTGGGACTGAGAGACCCACAAGTCCCACCTCTGGGCCCCACTAAACCCATAAACCCAGGTGAGCGGGGCCTTAGGCCTGGCTCAGGACCTCTCCATGGGTGGGAGGGGATTTCACCCTCCAAGTGCAAATGCAGCCAGACATCTACAGACCTCCTACAGGGCTCTGCCCCTCCCCCTGCCTCACTCCCCCCTTGTCCCACATTATCCTGCAGGGATAATTCCCCCAGCCCTGTTCTGCAAAATGCTGTGGAGCCTAGGGATGAGAACCCCCCATAGAAACTCTACGTGTGATCATTGCAACAACAGCCTGACCTGCAGGGACTGGCTCAGCAGCTGCTGCCCCTTCTCTCCTCCCCTCTCCCCGAACAGGGAAATCGCCCCAGTCAGTCTGCAGACACCCTCATTCCGCCTCTGGACAATGGCTCGCTCTAGCTCTTCCAACCGGGACAGCAGCAGCTGCTCCTGCTCCTCCAGAAACCCTTGCAGGGCCTTCCACTCCCCGACCAGCTTCTGCCGCTCGGCTTCCGTCCGGTTCTGCCACCACAGGGAGAGGGAGAATCAGTAACAGGGGAACACGGAACATGAGAACAGCCACACTGGGTCAGACCAAAATTCTATCCAAACTCAGTATCCTCTCTTCTGACAGTGGCCAATGCCAGGTGTGTCTCAGAGGGAATGAACAGAGGAGGGAATCATCAAGCGATCCCTCCGCCTGTCATTCCCAGCTCCTGACAAACAGAACTAGGAACACCCTCCCTGGCTAATAGCCATCGATGGACCTACTCTCCATGAATTTATCTAGCTCTTCTTTGAACCCTGTTATAGTCTTGGCCTTCACAACACCCTCTGGCAGGGAGTTCCACAAGATGACTGGGCATTTTGTAAAGAAATATTTCCTTTTATTTGGTTTAAACCCGACTTCAGGTTGAACCTCTCTAGTCTGGCACCCTTGGGACCTGAATGGTGCCAAACCAGAGAATTTGCTGGACCACGGGAGGTCAATATTGTCTAGCAGCATTACCAATGCTTCCACTGCTTACTGGACTCTTATAGGACAGAACTGATGGCTGTAAACACACTTTATGGGACAGCAAGAAACTTGGCCACACCTATGATAAGTGGGCATCCGGCTAATTAAAATCATGCCGAACCATGGATGTTGCCGGACCAGAGAGTTCCAGACTAGAGAGGTCCAACCTGTATTAATTTCATTTGGTGATCCCTAGTACTTGTGCTATGAGGAGTAAATAACACATCCTTATTTACTTTCTCAACACCAGTCATGACTGTATAGATCTTTATCATATGCCCCCTTAGTCGTCTCTTTTCCAAGCTGAAATGTCCCCGTCCTCTTAATCTCTCATATGGAAGCTGTTCCATTCCCCTAATCATTTTTGTTCTCTTTTGGTGTATCTTTTTCCAATCCCTTTATATTTTTTCCAGATGGGTGACTACATCTGCACACGGTTTTCAAGATAGAGGCATACCTTAGTTTTATGCAGAGGCAATATGGTATTTTCTGTCTTTTTCTCTATCCCTTTCCAAATGATTCTGAATATTCTGTTTGCTTTTTTGACTGCCATTGTACATTAAGTGGATGTTTTCAGACAACTGTCCATAATGACTCCAAAGATCTTCTTGAGGGGAACCTGCTAATTTAGACCCCCATCATTTTGTGTGTAGAGCAGGGATTACATGTTCAAATGTGCATGATTTTGCATTTATCAGCAGTGAATTTCATCTGCTATTTTGTTGCCCAGTCACCTAATTTTGTGAGATCCCTTTGTAACTCTTCCCAGTTTGCTTTCAACTTGCATTTATTTGGAATAGTTTTGTATCATCTGCAACTTTTCCACCTAACAGTTTACCCTTTTTCCAGATCTTGTATAGAACAATGCTGGTCCCAGTGTGGATAAACCCCTGTAATATTATCATTCTCATATAACTTTGTATTAAGATTTTGTCCTTTTAGATATCTTTGTTAAGTGTTCTCATACAATTTCTGTAACATTTCTCCTATAACTGTGTATTAAAAGAAACTTTCTTTTTTATATATATAGATCTTGTAAGAGAAAAAAAATGTCTTTTTAGCTCTCCCCTTTCCTTGATTGTCCTGTTGAAATGAATGAGGTGTGAATGGAGAATGAAAGGTGAGCACCTCCAGCAGCAGTTGCAGGGTAGAGAAGATCTGGGAGCCAGATCCAAGACAATACCTGTAAAGTGAGCTCATTAAGAAGACTGGACATACAGACACTTTGGGAGTCAAGCAGCAAATGCCTGCCCTTGGAAGAACTCTCTTTGAAGCAGCATTAAGAAAGGCAAGGTGATGACTAATTGGCTGCATGAGAGGGGTAAATAGGAGGCATCTTGCAGAGGGATTTTTGTCTTGTCAGCATGGGAGCATCCATCTGGATCTGCAGAAGCCCGGCTCCACCCCTGCCCATCTAACTCACCTGGCCAGTGCAGTTACAGGGAGCAACTTTTGGTAACAACAAGATGGAGTGTGCTTGTGTGTGAGAGAGAGTGCATGAGCGTAATGTATCCTATGCATGCGGTAAATATTGATTGATCTATGTATGTTCAATAAATGTGGCGTGTTGCCTTATCCCCCTGAAAAAGATCCTGGGTGCTTCTTTTAAGCACAACACGAGTACCGACCCCTGGGAGAAACCATTATTTACTGCTTTTCATTTTGAACCACCACCATTTATTCCTACCTTTGGTTTGCCATCTTTTTAACTAGTTAATAATCCATGGGAGGATCTTCCCTCTTATCCCATAATACAGGGGTTCTCAAACTTTGTGATACAGTGACCCCACTCTAAGATGCTCATGACCCCCCGGAGGGTCAGGACCCACAGTTTGAGAACCCCTGCCATAATAGCTTATTTTGCTTAAGAGCCTTTGGTGGATCAAAAATGTACCTCCCAGCAGATGGGGAAGTAACTTACCAGAGCACAGGGACTCTGATGAAAGGACATGCATTTAAGCCAGGAAGAATGGAGGGATCGGGGCAGGGTTGAGCTGTATACTGCCCACAGGACCACCTGGTGGGACTGCCCTCTCTCTAGGCATCAGTGGGGATAGTTTCCTGGCTGAGGCAGGCAGACTGGACTCTGCATTTACCAGGGCACTTGGCAGGGTGACCTCAGCCTAAGTGAGGGGAGGAGGCCAAAGGGGACTTCAGGCACCTACCAGCAGCTCCTCGCTTTGCTGCTGCACCTCAGCGTTGGCTGCTTCTCTCTCTTTTCTCAGAGGGGCCAGATGCTCTCGTGGGGGCTCCTGGAAGAAGCAGAGGGTGGGGGTTACAAGCTGCTGCAAACAGCCTCCCCGCTGCTGGTTTTCAGGGCTCATCCTGCCCTGTAGACGCTCCTGAAAAATCCCTGGGGCTCAGACTTTTATCCCAGATCATGTTCAACCTCAGCCAGGAAGGAGGAAGGGAAGCTGGTGAAAGGGGGACCAGGTTTTCCAGAAGCAATATGGGACCCTCCTGGCTGAATGATAGGGATGCAGCCCCCGACCGACCTACCCACATCTAGCTCTGCCCATCCCAAGCAGCAAGCCTCAGACATGCCCCTTGCCTCAGTTTCCCCAGCTCCACCTCCCCCATGCCCCAAGAGCAGATATGAACATGGACCCCACTATATCAAATATCCCCACCTCCCACCCCACAACTCCCAGCAGCCCCAGGCTCCCAGCCCACCTCTGACCCCCAGCCGTCCGTTTCCCGCTCCCCCGCCCTGCAGCCAGGCTCTGACTCGCCCCCAGCTGCCCCATCCCCAGCCTGGGCTCCGAGCCCCGCAGCCG